AAAAAAAAATTGAAAAAAGAGGATGCCAAATGAAAATAAATTATTTGACAAATAAAAAAAGATTTAAAAAAGAAAAATATAAGTAGATTATTTATACTTTAACTATTAAATAGAATTATCCATTTAAATTCATCAATAAATTTACGTCTAGTTTATTTTACATACATGGGCAATTAAGCAAAGTAGGGTTATCAAAGATATGATTGAAAAGTATTTATGAACGGAATAAAAAAAATATAGTGAATAAATAAATAGTAATTATGATACGACGGAGGATAAAGTTACAGTAGCTACTTTGTCATAAGAATTTAACAGAAAGATTGACATAATTATATGTGACAGTAGATGATTGAATGAAAAAGTCGACAGTGTTTTAAACTGTCCAATGATAAAATATCACGTGTTATTATGTCAAACTTTATGTCAATCTTATATTCATGTAGCATGATGTATAAATAGAAAGTGATTGATCAAAAAAATATTTATATACACGAGATCTCACCTCAAAACCCTAAACTTTAGTCAATTAGTTGATAATCACCTTACTCAATCCAAATCCCCACCCACGCAACCACAATAAACAAATAAATAATCCAATTTGATAGTTACTATGTAGGTGTTTGGTGGGGATTAAAATTATATTTTTAGTAGGTTGTGATAGAAGTTTTTGAAATGTGTGGTTGTAAAGCTGTGGGGCCCACGAACGAAGTTGTAAGAATCATGCGGGGTCCCATAGAGCTTCACCCGGAATTGCCCTCCTTCAGGAAAATATCATTCTGATAATTTTAACCATTTTCCCTACGCTCACCTCCCCCATCCGTCTTCTGCGGCAGGAATGTAGTTTCAAGCCTCTGCAGCTCCCAGTTTACCTACATTGGTACCCATCTTTTCTCATAAGTCTCACACTCTTTCTGTTTGTTGATTGACCTTTTTGCAGTCTAAAAATCAATTGAAACCTTTTCTTTTAGCCTCCTTTTTTGAACCTCTATCTATATCGATAATCACCAGGCTTCTTCAACTATGAAAACGACTTAAAACCCAGTGTTTTTTGCTTAATTTTGTACTTCCTGATGTTAGCATAGATGCCCATTTCGATTTCTCGATGGTTCATGTTCTTCAGCAGAAGTCTTGGAATATTGATGGGGTTTTCAGTCTCTTGCTCTTCTCCTTGACTTGATTTGCTGATATTTTAGCCGATCTTCACAATCATAGGTCTCTTAAGGTTTATTGAATCTCTATCTGATAGAATTTTAGCTGGAAGTTTTGTAAGTTCTCCTTTTTAGTCAAATTAACAAAGAGATCATCAAGATTACGGTTATTTTCCCAAGATTGTAGCTTTATAGTTAATTTAGTTTTTTTAGGTAGTAGCCTTTCGCAATATTGTCTTGGGGACACCTTTAACTTTGTAAATTAGGATTTTCTGGGTACTCTGATGGGTTGTCAAGGCTAATTCCAGTCAAGGGCTCTTTTGTATTTCCAAAATATGGCTGCAACTGAGCACTGCTTTGTAGAGTGGAAAGAGCAATATGTGTCAAAAGAGAGGGGCAATCGTGTGGTACACTACTTCTTGAAGGATAATTCAGGGGAGTCTATTCTTGCTGTCGTGGGAACTGAGAGGAGTGTTAGACACATGTTTTATGTTGTTTCTGAGGAGTTCTTGAATGCCCATGGGGCCAAGAACTCGGTTCATGCCGGTTTCAGATGGAGATCAAGGAGAGAGGTTGTGAACTGGCTCACTTCTATGCTGTCAAAGCAGCATATGCAAGCTGATTGCCCAGGTATTTTTTCTATTCCTTCGCGTCTTCACACTATTTGAATTATAAGAGTGCTTCTACTGTTAGATTCAAATGATTTGACTGCGGTGAATGTGGTGGAAGATTGGAGGGTTTACTTCCTTTTTTGTCTTTTATCGATCAAACTTATGTTTCTTGCAATTGTTGTGAAATTTTACTTCTTCAGGTCTCGATTTTGGAAAAGACCACCTCTTACTTTTCCATTATGAATTTAATGGGAAATTTGAAGGTTGAATTAGTTGAATGTTTTGCTTGATTTGTGATCTTTTAATGATAAAAGCGTAGTTGCTATGATAATCATTTCTGAACTTTACTTGGGTTTGATAATTTCTTCAAGGAACCATTTCTTTTTCTTTTCAAAATTGTTATCCGTGACTTTAACTGCATGATTTTATGTTCTAAATAGTCTCATTGCTATTTCACCTTCCACAATGAGTATCCCAATTTCAATCTTTCTTGCATTGTTGATGAATTTGAGGTTTGGATGATTTAGTTGGCCCTTGTGTTTCCATTAAAAGATGTTGGGTTCCAATCGGGTGTAACCTTGAATTATTAGTCTAGAATGCTTTGGAATATGAAAATAGAAGGTGATTTTTCTGGATGTGCTTATATGGAGATCGGTGGGTCTGTTTCTGATGGAGTTTCATTTATGATAATTTTATGGACTAAAATTTATATATTTCTTCTCTGTTCTATTATTTAGGTCTTTTTGTTCTAAAGTGAAGTGAACCGTATAATGCTTCTGGCTATTTTGTACCATAACGTTAAGATTGCAGTTCATTTTAAAGTGTACATAGAGTGGAATTATTATCGCTATGAGAAACCTACTCTTGTGATTAAGAGAAGTTGGAATCCGAAGAGACCTCTGCAGTGTTTACTTTTTTCCTTTTTCTCTAACATTATATGATTCTGATGACTTGGCCTATTTTCATATGGATGTTTTCTAAATATAGCTGCCAGTGTTCTATTTTAGTTTTGTTGTTGCTGTTATTCTGTAGAGAAAATAGACACGGCTTGAAAAATATTATTCTGTTTATGTGTAATAATTAGGACGTTAGGTCAACATCTGCTTGTTGTCATGACATCTCGTACTTGATGATTTCCTTCTTAAACAGCATTCAGGGGTACAACTAGATTAGAAGATACATGATTATGATCTTGCCCTTATTTATTGCTCACTTTAAAACTTGGAAAAAATCATGATTTGTTAACACTGTTCTGACCCATTTTTTATGGTTCCAATGTCTATTTAGTATCCTGATTGCAAAATTCAGTATACGATATCTGATTCCCGTTTGACTTCATACCTTGGTCACATAAATTCGATTTTTCGGTATTCAGTATATTTCTTGAAATTGAGTATATGCATTTTCATAGCTGATAATCCTGAATATAACATTTGGCATGTTATATTCCGTTTAAATGCCTGCCAAACCCATGGCACTGTAAAGTTTGGCATGTTATATATGTGAAGAAATGTTAATTAAAAATCAGTTGAAAATTTAGCATCTTATTATCCTTCATTCCTTCTGAATGGACAGTGTCACCAAAAGAGAATTCTTCTCCCAAAATCAATGCTCGACACACCCATATGCCAGCACAAAAGGGCCGTGTAGCAAGGAATTTGGAAGCTCATAATTTAAACATAGCATGGTCGGGTGTATCATGGACCTGTGGTAAACAGCTCAAGCACTACCCAGAATTTTGCAGGAATGGGATTACGATATCGGTATGCTTCTACTAGTCTATCAGTACTTAAAAACAGAATGTATTAGAGGGGGTCTTCGAACTGTGCATGCATTAAAATGTAACACAAGGATTTTCTTGATGTCAATCATTGCTTAGCTAGGAAACACAAACATGCTTCGTTGCCGTCTGATACATTCATACACTAGGTAGCATGTCCATTTTTTTAAACTGCGAACACATCCCTGACATGACTGATGACCCTAAATGCCGTAAAACTGATGCCGACATGCCGTGACTGGTTAAAAGTAATCAGAAAAAGGGGAACTATCCTAGTTTATCTTCATTCTCCATTTCCGAAACCTTAGCTTTGTTTGATCAGCATTGTGAATAGCGATCCGGCATCTTTGTTGGATGTCGCCGTCTCTTTTATTATCATCAGCTCAAGAAAAAAAAATTGAAACCTTTCTTTTATTTTGATTTGTCGAACCCTAGCTTTCTTTTATTTTTGAACAGCAAGACACGTTTTTTCCTTCATAAAATTCTTGTCAATTTGGAAAAAACAAATCAGCATTTTTACCCATTGAATAACGTTGATCTTTTACCCTTAAAAAAATTGAGCTTTTACATCGAATAAAACAATTGGGCTTTTCAACCATTGAATAATATGTGCCTTATTAAGCAATGAATAAAGCAATTGGCCTTTTTTATCCATAAAGCATTTGCCATGAACTTTTTAACCTTCAAATGACAGACCCATGACCTCAATTAATTGGAAGAACACACATCTGTCTTTCCAGAATATAAAATTAGTAGTTTGATGAAGCAAAAAAATAAAAAATATTGATGCAACAAGTATACAATGTTTTATCTGTTTTACACTATAAAATTACAAAATAAATAAATGAATTTAATGCTATTTTATCAATTACATGTTATGTCGGTGGTTTTTTAAAAACCGCATCTTTGTCATGTCATGTTCGACCAGTGTGTCCTCGTTGGTTCGTCCTACTTGCTGAGTAGAAGATCTAGTTGAAAGACGAAATGGGATATATAGAATAAGCTCTGTGCAAATATATGGTTAAAATGGCCCCTTTTAAATCTTGCATTTACATCTATCCTGTAAACACTCATTAATTTGAATTATCTTCACTTCTGCTGATGTTCAAGTGGTCCATATGTGTAGGCTCAGATCTGAGCACTTGTGCTTCTCATTCTAAAATTGAGATATGAATAAAAGATGCAAGCTTAGATTTTTTTTCCATATTTGCCTCTGTGAACTTTCTTTCGCCACGCTTAAATGTTATTACCCTGGTATTTTTGCAGTTGTATTTTACCCTTTTTTTATCTTTTAATAATCAGTGATGATGGCTTTGTGAATCTTAAACTTTCTTTCAAATTTTATTTTTATTTTCTCACCCTTCCTTTTCAGATGCATTCATTTGTCTTTGTAATGGCTGAGAAAGAAAACCGTTATATTGCATATTTGGAAGATATGTATGAAGATAGAAAGTTCCAGAAAAAGGTCAAAGTGAGATGGTTTCACCATAATAGAGAAGTCAGGGGCACTGTTTCTTTACAGAATCCTCATCCTAAAGAAGTTTTCTTCACTCCGTATGTACAAGTTATCAGTGCAGAATGTGTTGATGGTCCAGCAATAGTCTTAACTCGTGAACATTACGAGAAATGCTTGGCTGTTTTTCCCCAGGATTTGGCAGGAAAAGTACATTTTTGCTTCAGACAATTTAAGAGCAATAGAGTAAAGCCTTTCAAGCTAAGTATGTTGCGTGGATACTTCGATCAATCCTTCTTCCTGTGTTTTAGTCCTGATTTTTTCGAGGACGAAGAGTTCAGCTCTGAAGATGACGTTAGAGTGGGAGCTAAAAGGGGCAGAACATGCAGAGAGCATCAGAAGGCAGCACATGAACTATCATACAAGAAATTGAAGTATGGTCTGCTGGGTAGGAAACCAAATTTTTTCAAGCATGTAGAAGGCCATGGTTGGAATACTCCGACTTTTAAGGTCAATGACAAGATCGAGTTTCTTTGCCAAGATAGTGGTATTCGAGGTTGCTGGTTCAGGTGCACAGTTTTAGAGGTTTCTGGGAAGCAGATGAAAATTCAATATGATGGTGTAAAAGATGAAGATAGTTGCGGCAATCTTGAGGTATGAGTAGGCGTGCCTGTATCTCCATAAATTTCGTCAAATAGGTTTCGACCACCTATATCTTATGTTTTACCCTATGATGCACCGACACAGACACGTGTGTCCGACGTGATATGTGTCAGATACGTCGACACGCGATTATTAAAAAAAGTACTGACACGACACGTCATCGACATGTTGATTAAATTCTTAAAAATTCTTCATTTATATAGTATAAATTTAGTTTTATACTTGTTATTAATTTTTCTTCTTGAAATCTTTTAAACATGAGTACCTATTTATTACTTGCTAATAATTTTGAATTAACAATCTATAATATTTTCAATATAAAAATAAAAATGATTAGGGTGAGTGTCCGAGAAGTGTCAGTATCGACTCGTTTCCGACACCTGTAGGACACGGAGACGCTACCCTAATTGAAGTGTCCTTCTCCGTGTCCGTGCTACAAAGGTTTTACCAGCTCACCACAGGCTTTATAAAGTATAGATGAATCGTGGGTTGAATTCACTAGTCTTTCGAAACTATAATCTAGGCTTTATTTAATCACTTAGGACTTGGAGTGAACCCCTATAGAGGATTAAAATTTGAGGAATTTTCCTCCGTGGGACACTTTCAGACTTTAGAGTGAGAAAATGAATTCTATCCACTACTTTTGGGTTTGTAAATAATAGGCATTTTTTTACTTCTTCTTTGACAAATATATCCTTCTCTGTATGAAAGTGTTCCCCCTTCCTTTTTGCATGAATTAGTTTGAAAAATTTCCTTCAAAATTTTCTTTGGAATCTGGTCTTAATTAAAGTACCAGTAGTTTTGTCTGGAGGTCACCTGTGGCATCAGATTATAGTTTTCCAAGATAAAAATTTCAACTTGATAATGAGGAGGTTCCAACCACCAAACATGCTTGGTAAGATTTATGAAATGTGTCATTTAACTTGCTGGTTAACATTCACTTATATATGTTTTGTAAGATCATGTTTGGTTAAGCCAAAATTAGAAGTAAAGTTGCTTAAAAGTAGCTTTTATGCTTAGCCAAACATGTATGTAGCTTTAAAAGTTAGTTGTAACTAACTTTTTTTGCCTAACTTATTTGTCTTCTCTTGAAAGTTACTTTGTTTTAGACTGTTAGTACAAAAATTGGCTATTTTAAAGCATCCGCTTACCTACCTCTTTGAAAGGATGTGTACTTCGTTTTTATTCGTTTTTAGGCTTGGTCCAAACATGCTCCAAATCTGCATATTGTGGAAGCATTTTATTGATCACAGAGACAACTGGCCAGTTTTTGATTTATTAAATTCTCTCTTGAATGGAACTCTATTTTGATGTATTCTTTAACTTGCAGGAATGGATCCCAGCATATAGATTGGCCAGGCGTGATAAACTGGGAATGAGACATCCTGGTCGTCCAACAATCAGGCCAGCCCATCCTTGTTATCAGGGGAGCAGCACCTTCGAGGTTGGAGCTCCCGTTGATGCCTGGTGGAGTGATGGTTGGTGGGAAGGGGTTATATCTGGCACTTGTGATTGTGAAAATGGAAATTATCAAGTTTATATTCCAGGTTGGACTTCTTTTTTTTTTTTTTATTCTTTTAATATTCTTTCTTTTAACCCCCTTTCTGATATCTAGATTACTTTTCTCTGTCCCCCCGCCCCAAATAAACACACACACACACACCCACACCCCGTGCAAGATAGGAGAGAAGAAAAAAATGTTGTCTATACAACGTGGTGTTTCTGATGTTATCTTTTCTTTTTCCATTTCTTTTCCCATTTGGTTGAATCAGGTGAAGATTTATTTTTGAACATAGAGGAAAAGAGCCTCAGAGTTTCTAGAGATTGGATTGGTGAACGATGGGTGGATATTAAGCCAAATTCTAACATTCTCTCTTTCATTTCCGCAACATGCATAGATGCCAAGCTTTTAGCATCACCAGCTATTGTCAAGGAAACCAAATCCGACAATTCTCGTACTTCATGTCATAAAGTTCTTACCGACATCAAACTTAGTGTAGTGGAAGAGGGGATCTGTGATTTAGGAGGTACGACACCGGCCACTAACATTCTGAAAGATGACTGCTGGAACGATAACAAGTACCGAATGCTTACAATTCAAGAAAAGGAAAATAACATTGATCATGTCAATGAAGATGATGAGAAGAACAATGCCGACTATAACCTTAGTGATGCTAATATTGCTGACATATCCTGTAATGCTGATGACAAGGATGATAATGCCGATGGCTGCAAAGAGGACAATTTAGCGGAACTCAAGATTGCTGAGCCGAGATGTGAAGCAGAAGCAAATGAGGTCATAACATAGAGTGGTCCATACATACGATGTTGTCTCATCCCTTACATAGTACGAAGAATTGGAAATGGTGGTAGAATTTAATCTTGATATTAGGATAGCTGTACAAAAGCTATGTAATGAAAGATTGTAATGCATTTTAGTCAATTAGCCATTGCCCATGTAAAGAGACGACCCTTGGATTCGAATCTCAGTGATGACAAGCTATCTCCTCCAGTAAAGGGTTTGTAGCCTTTTACTGTGATGCTGTGTACTATATATATTGGTCCTGTGACTTTTTCTTGAACGAACTTAATATTTCTTTTATAATTGTTTTCATCACTAGCATGTTTTGTGAAATACTGTGCTCGTATGGAACAAGGTTTTAATTTCTTTTTCTTCTTTAGTATTGTTCAATGCTATTCCATTTTACAGGGACAAAGAATCGAATTGTCCTATCATTAGAAATCACGATTTTTATTTCTTTGGTATTTAAACTTGGTTCCTTCAGCTTCTTGATTCTCATGTCTGTTTTAAACTTTTGAACTTACTTCTGGATAAATGAAGAAAAGAAAAGAAAAGGTCTGTGTACAGAATAAAAAACCACATAGATAGCACACAGAATACACAGAGGTGGCTCCTTTTATGGCAATATTTAATTCACATGAGGCCATCTGGATTCTTTATACAGAAAAATTCAAAATAAAAATAAAAATAAAAACGTCAACTTTGTGGATAAGCCTAATGAGAATTTGCTGAGCTTCGGCTCCTCTCAATACACCCCAAGAGTGACTTTTGAATAACACAGAAAATCGTTGAAAATTGTAAATTCAAAACCAAAATGAATTGTATATCTTCTTCTTCATCGTCGTTCTCACACCAACACTTTTTCTACAATGCAATTTTTCCAATACTTCTTTGAAAACCCAGCTCTGTGTTCTTTCTGACTTGTTCAAACAGTCAATTTCCAGAACTTTCGCTGCTTCTGAAGTTTTGGAATCTGATGTTAACACTGCTAGTAGCCTTGAGGTTTTTATTTTTTTGTATCTTATTAAGGATTGCATTCACCAATGACCATCCAACTTTATACTTGATGTCGACATGGTCGCCAAATTTAATTTTATTTCATTATGACTACCCAACTTTATATTCAGTATCACCATGACCACCCAATTTAATTTTATTTTACCATGGCCACTCAATTTCATGTAACGTTTCACCGTGACCTATCAACTTCTTTTCACAATTTACATTAATTTTAAAAAGCGTAAGACAGTAACTTTGCTTTAATTTTAGGGAAAATTGCAGCCAAGGTACCAAACTTTTCAATTATTTGCGAACTTTGTCCAAACCTTTTGGTGGTGGTGGTAGATGGTTTTCTAGTTTAGGATAGGATGATGGGGATTTGGTGGGTGATGGGTGGCCGCCGTGGCGACGTGTTGGTGGTGGCCGTGATTTAGGTTCCATTTTTGGGTGTCGAACGTGATTTTCTTCATTTGTGATTTACGATGGTGGTGGTGGGAGGAGGCGGTGGTGTCGGCAACGTGTCGACACTATTGATGCCGGGAAGGAGAAATTGATTGCAATTTTTTTAAAATTTATTTAATGAGAAAATTGTCAAGTTACCATTTTGCCCCTCCTGATTTTTTATTTTTGGGGTCAATTAACGATTTTCGTGGTCAAACGGACGGAAACAGTCAATAAACTGGATGTTCGATTTTTTTAAAGGTTTGGTACCGTGTGTGGTACAAACTAAAGGTTTGGGCAACGTCCACAAATAACTGAAAGATTTGGTACATCGACTGCAAATTTCCTTTAATTTTAAGGTTCACTTCTTGAAAAGGGAAAAATTTATCAGTAAGAGTTTAACAATGACTCATTTCAAAACTAAGATAAATTGTTTAAAATTTCAAAAATCAAATATTTATTAAATTTTATTTATGAATTAATTAAAATATTTATTAAATTTTATTTATGAAATAATTAATTAAAAAATATTTTTGTTAATTAAATATATTAAAATCACAATTCCATATAATTTGGTCACAAATTCTCTAATTAATTAATTATAATTTTTTCTCGATCATAATTCAAAAAATTTATAAGTCATAAATTATTTCTCGATCATAAATCAAAAATTTAATAAGTCATAATTTATTTCTCGATCACAGATCAAATTTTTTTATATGTCACAATTTATTCATCAATTACAAAATCAAAATGTTCATAGGTTACAATTCATTTATTGATCACAAATTATAAATTTTATAAGTCGCAACTTATTTAAGGGTCACAAATTATCAAATAATTAGTCACACACACACACACACACAGGCCACAAATTACCCAATTTATTGGTTACAATCAATTAATTTAGAGCCCGTTTGGGGCACATTAAAATGAGAGAATGCATTTTTTTGAAGTGATGTGATGGGGAATATATGATTGAAAAAGAAGGAAAAGTTATTGATATGATGGAAAATATTATTTTATTGAAGAATGTACGGTTGAAAATGAGTAGCAGAATGAGAATGAAAAAAATAATGTGGATCAAACAGGGGCTTATTGATTACAAACACTCTTGGTCCCACTCTACAGTCGCAGCCACTAACACCACGACGTTACCGCCTACACCACAACCGTTTATGACAACCACCTCATCACTGCCAACAGCGCTAGATCTACCACCACACTACCGCGAAAGTCCACCTACATTATTGCCAGATCCTTTGCACTATCGCCAACAAAAAAACACCCAAAAAACCAACAAAATCTAATTGCCTCCGCTAATGCCACCACCACATGCATTGCTGCCTCCAATCCCAGCATTACTGTCAATACCTCACCATAACGCCAGTAGTACTATCACCATCACCCTAAAACCATCAAAACATGAAAATCACTACCATCCATCCAACAATTAAAAAAAAAAAAAACCACCTATGCAATCTGGGCCGCTGCAGTCACGATCTATGTCATCACCATCGCGATCTACACTGTTACATCCACAATCCGCAGAGCCTTCGGTGGCGCTCACAGTGAAGGAACGACTTTACCTGAGATCTGTAGAGCTTATGGCGATCTAGGACGTTGTTGGCGCGGTTTGCAGTCAAGAAATGACTTCACCAACGACGCTCACAGCGAAGATGATAGAGAGACGGTCTTCGGTGGCGGCGCTCTCCGATGGAGTTTATAGAGTTGAGAGAGGAAGATGAGAGAGAATGGGTAAGATATAGAGAGAGAATGGAGAGTGAGGATCGAAGATAAATTTAGGGTTTGTGAGTGAGGTTGGTGGATGTGGTATGTTAATTAATTTAATTTTATAATATTATTATTAATATTTAAAATTTTAATTACATCTAAAGTTAGAGGTCATATATTGGACAACCGATGGGTCGTGCCGTACAATCCTTATTTGAGTGCAAAATTTGATTGTCACTTAAATGTCGAAGTATGTTCTTCTATTAAAATTGTAAAATATTTGTACAAATATGTGTACAAAGGCCATAATCGGATTAATTTTTCAATTGCACCAGCTGAAACAATGAAAGAAATTGATGAAATTTCTGCTTATCAAACTTCTAGATGGATATCTCTACCTTAGGCAATGTGGAAGATTTTATCGTTTAATTTAGCATAAATTCATCCAACTGTTTATTCTTTACAACTTTATCTCCTAAATCATCAACAAATGCGATATAACGACGAAGATAATTTAACTACTATTATTGAGAATGAAGATACAAGACGAATAATGTTAACAAAATTTTTTAGAATAAAGAAGCAGATGAATTTGCTTGTACGTTATTATATCGAGATTTTCCAACACATTTCATTTGGAATTTATCTAAGAAAATTTGGACACACAGAAAGAAAAATATTGTCATTGGCCGAATTGTTTCAGCACATCCTTATGAAGGAGAACGATATTTTCTACATGTACTTCTCAATCATATTCGAGGTCCACGTCATTTCATCATTTACGAACTTTAAATGGAATAACTATAAGCACATATCGAGAAGCAACATTTTTACATGGCTTATTAAGCGGAGACAATCATTGTGAAGAATGTCTATCTGAAGCTATTGTTTATAAAATGCATACTTCTTTAAGATATCTGTTTGCTGCACTTCTTATACTCTGCAACCTTGATCATTTAAAACTACTTTAGAATAAATTTAAGAGTTATATAATTGACGATTACGTACATGAAAATAAACCTCCAGATGTTGCTAAATTACCGGCGTTGGAAGACATAAGTTCTATTCTAGAATCATTGGGTAAAAATATAAACAACTATGAAATAG